CCGGCTTTTGGCCGTGCGAGTGGTTATTGTGCCTCTCCGACGATGCGGAATCCTCACTGTGCTTGCTGCGGTTATTATTCGTGAGAGTTACACTGCCAGTCGCCGTGGTATTCCTACGCGCCTTGATGTTGTTCACCAGAGGAGAGGCGTTGGGCGTGGCTGACCGCAGCTTACCAGCTCTTCGCAACAGTGGCGGCGGCGTGGCCGTGGAGCTAGTCGACTCGCTGAGATTGCTACGCCGCTTGCCACGTCCGCGTGCCGCTGTCAAAGCTACTCGTGCCATTGTCGTTGGAGTGGTTGGGCCTCGCGTGCCCATCTTTACCGCCTTGTTCTGCCGCGCGCTCAGTGGTCGCTCCTCGTCATCATCGCTGGAGCTGCCACCACTTCCTCCGCTGCTGCTGCTAATGGCCATGTTGCCGTTGTTTCCCTGCACATTGTTAAGGCTGGCGTGCTGCATGTCCATGGCGTCAGTGGTGCCCTCCTGCGACGTGGAGTCTCTATCCTCGCTGCGACTTCTTCCGCCATCTCTATCAGGATCTCCATCAGCATCGCCTTCGCTCGCCTCATCGCTGTCAAAATCGGAGCAACTGCCCGACATGCTGAAGTCGGAGCAACTGCTGCACGGACTGCTCGACTGCGAAGGAGCGTCGTCGCTGTCACTAACGTCGCGCTGATTGTTAGCTCTGTACACCCGGAAACTGTCCGGTATTCGTTCGAAGGCTAGAGGCTCGGGCATGGGCAGCGCCTGATTGACGGTCATCGCCGGATTGGGGGACTTCTTTGGTGACATGGAGGAGCTGTGCCTCAGTTCCGGCACCCGACGATAACGTCCTGGCCTTTTGGGCGACTTGACGGGCAGACTCGCGCTTAGCTTGCTGTTCATTGCGAGGGCCGTAGAGGTCAAGCTCGCAGCTGCAGCGGCTCCGGCTGAGGACGACCCTCCTATTCCAGTTCCCGATGCTACAGCTCCGCCGCCACTGCTGTTGTTCTGCGTCAACGCAAAGCTGGAGACAGTTGGCGGTGCGGAGGCCAGGACGTGATTTAGGGTGCCTGCTCCACTTGACGCTGCCGTGGCCGCCGTGGTGGCGGAGGATGAGCTACCGCTGGTAGACTGAGTGTTGGACGACTGCGAATTGTGCTGCTCCTCTTTCACAGGCGTCGTCAAAGGCTCCGACGGTCTCTTCAGGGCAGCCTGTGCCTTGCGTGTTAACAATATGGCGGTTCTGAAATAGATTTTAGAGATTTTAGGTTTGCATTGACCACCATACAATTTAATTGATTTTAAGTCCAAACAAAATGTAGAATATTTAAAATTAAAGAATGTCCTTCAGTTAATTTCTGAATGAAGTTTAATTATTTAAATAGGAATTTCTATATAGTTAAACCAACAGTTCACTTGGCTCATCATCAAACCTATTCTGACTCCAATAATTCTTGTATGCTATAAAGCATTTCTCGTTATTTTCAGGTGCACTTTAAGAGACGTACCTTCGATTGATGCCTACGGGAGAGCTACTGTTGTTTAAACTCTTAATGGGGCTGCAGGGCGGCGTTTGCGTGGAATTGAGCAAGTCCTTGGACACAATATCCTCGCCCATGGAGTCCTCATCAGAATCCTCTTCTTCGTCATCGTCATCATGCCCCAGTGCCATGTCCACCCCACTGCTATTCAAGCGTTTCCGGGTGCGCTTTTTAGAAGGCGAACCGACCAACGTGTCGTCATCGTCACTTTGGGATTGGTTGGCGTGCGAGGAGTGACGCTAAAAGTGTGGGATAAAAGTACGAATTAGTTGCGGAACCATATGGGAGAAAGGATAAAGCCTATACTCACTGCTGCAAATCTCGCCTTCTGGAGGCTTTTGCGCATTCGGGAAATTTCCAACCGAATCTGCTTTATTTTTTTGGTGCGATAGGTCGGGTTCTTCAGGACCTGCGACTTGTCGGCTAGAATAAGCAGCTTTTGGACGATGCCTTCGCTGGCCGGCGTCGCCAGCAGCAAGCGTAACTCCTGCTCCACCTCCGCCTCCACGTGGTCGACGTGAAAGCGCTGTGATCGCTCCAGCAGGCCATCCCTCTGCAGTTCCTTCCGCACCTGGACAAAAAGAGGTGCAGCCTGGTCGCGCATCCGTATTCCAGCACGATAGAACACCGTATCCTTGTTGTTGTAGGCCAAACAGTTCTGAATCATCAGGTCGAAGTCAGCTTCTAACTGCTCCAGCGAGGTGTACTGACACTCCTTCAGCTTAGCCCTCATCGTGCCCAGATCCATGGGTTGTTTCACAATGTCGGTGTAATCGGGCACCTCGCTGGTGTCCACCGGCTCTCGGAAAATCTGCATGCTGTCTCGCGCCTCCAGAGCATCAAGCAGCTTGTTCAGTGCCGCCTCCAGCGGATTGAGCTGCAGCATTACCACCTCCTCGGAAATGCGAACAAGAGCCACTTTCAGCTTCTCGCGCTTCCGCACCAACTCGCACAGAAGGCGCGCTCGCTCCAGATCCTGCCGAAGGCACTGCCAGTATTTAAGTTGGCGGTACAACTCACCGGTGTCCGGGGAGCCTTCAATGCCGTTGCGTTGAATCACGCCGTGGTTGTTCCCTTGACTCTGCAAGCGTCGTAGGAGGGGAACCCCATTGCGGTAGTGTCTCTTGAGCGTCCAATAGGCGATAATGCGGTCAAGGAACTCCTTCTTGCGCTGCATCGTCACCATGGTGGCTATCTCCTGAACGCGGTCAGGCGGAATAGTCGGAATCAGCACCACGGGCGCTGTGGAGCGCTTCTTGGCCAAAGCCTTGCGTGCCTCCCGCATTTTGTGGCGCGTGTCCTCAAAGTCAGGCACGTTCATCTTTAGCTTAGCATCCGCCGGCGTGTGGGCGTGGCAGTAGGCAAACTTCTGAACATGCATTGACGAATCATTGTGCCCGTCCTTAACCGTGTCCATGGTCATATAAAGGCCCGCTTGCTGTGCGCATGTAACGTGGAAGGCGGCGTAGCAGCTGTTTCGGTGGCACTGGATGCAGGCTCCCAGTCCTTTCTCCTTGCACACGTAGCAGGTGAGTCGCCAACGAGCGGGGGGAATGGTCTCAATTGAATCTATGAAAGAACTCAGTTATTATTTGGAACGTCCAGAAAGCTGGAAGATCGCGGTACTCACCTATTGGCTCCAGGAAGACGGTGTTGGCGAATCGCACTTCCGGTATCCACAGGGCACATACCACGTGCGCCCACTGGCCGTGGTCCGTCTGCTTGAATGCGCCTCCCGCATTGGGACAGAGCACACAGTTCACAGGCTTACTGGGTGACTGCAAGCATCGGCGGCATAACCACTGGCCCTCCGGGATATAGGGGACACCATAGCAGTCCTGGTGTACCGCCAGGTTGCACATGTCGCAGAAAAGTATCACGTTGGTGTTTTGGCACTCGCCGTCGAGGCAAATGCAGCAGACTGCGTCGTCGTCTACCTCGACGCCTGTGGGTGTGCCATTGGCCGCCGCCTGGAAGTGGGACTCCTTTTCCAGCCGGTCCATCAGCAGCTCCATTGTGTCGATGCCCACGGCGTTCAGCCCGAGTCGCTGACGCTCCTCGTTCATGTGCTCCAGCCAGGCGGAGTCCTCCTCGTCCACGTCGTACTCCACCTCGCCGTCCAGCTCCTCCAGTGACTTCTCGATAAAGCGATAGTAGGCCAGCGGCCGTGGCGGGGCGTCGGACACTCGGTAGTCCGAAATCTCGGCTACCCTGGCCACAGGCACCTGGACCCTTGCCCAGGGTGCGTTCTCCTCCAGTGGTGGTGCATCGGCGTTCAAAATACAGCCCCTGGCCACCAGGGCAGCGAACTCCTCGTCCTCTACGAGCGGCAAGGCGTCGTCAATGCCCAGGCGCACGCTCTTCCCGTCCAAGTTAAACGTCACCGTGGCCTCCTCCTCGTTGTAGGACACCAGTGATTCTGGATTGGCGTACTGCCGGGCGGCGACTCCGGTCGCCAATCCATCTCCTGCGCTGGCCGAGGAGCAACCGTTCCTGGCCTCTGCTCCACCGCCACCAGGTGCGGGATGATCCTTGTGCGGACGAGGTATCGAGTGATGGCCGCCGGACCGTGAGCGCGCCTTCTTGCGGCTGGGATTCAGCACGAGTGTGAGCGGCTGTGGGTTGTCGTGGTCGTACTTCATAAGATGGTACTGCAGACCCATGATGGTCTTATAGCTGCGGTCGCAGCCGCGGACGGGACAGGCGAAAGGCGGCTGGGACTGCTGGGTCTTCACCCCCTTGCAGTACTCCACTGCGTCGAAGTCGAGGCCCATGATCTGGATCTGCGGCGGGATCTGTGGATCTGCTGCAGCTGGCTTCTCGGGGTTTGGCGGTTCGCTGGTCGCGGATCGCGGGCACTGAGTCTACTCCGCGGCACGGGTGCGCATACGTATGTGCATCCCACGGTGGTCGTCGCAGAGCGCGCGGTTTTGGCTGTCCACCGTTCCTGGTCGATTTTCGTTGGCTTGTTGCAAATTTTTTAACAAATGTGCTAGAGATGGGCTTTCTGGTTAGCTCGCCATGGCGATACTATCGTCGGCGGGGATTGTGCAGCACTGGAGGCTTGGGGAAACTTGTTTCACCTATTCTTGGGTCTTTAAATGCTTAATTCTCTTCCGTAATCTACATTTGTAATAATGCTTTTCTTTACTGTTCTTTCCGTTTCTATTTTCTCCCAAATTTGTTTACAATTTGCGTTTTGTGAAGTTTCGCAGCACTGCTGTCTAGAGATGGTAGTGGCGGGAGCCTATTGGAACTAGTTCATCCTTTGGCTTATTTTCAAATTTCAAAGGTCCAGAAATACAATTCTTAACCATTTAAATAATGCAATTAATATTATTTTAAAGAATGCCAATAAATACCTCCCGAAATTCGCACAAAAGACTGTTTTGGTTGTGTTTTTCATTTTGCGCGGGAAGTTTCTCTCCCGTCTAGTGCTGGGTAGCGGAGGCATAAATGCGCCTTACAGCACCCTACGCGCTGTTAACTGTCAACAGTGCACAACTAACAGTCTGTTATCATATGCTGACGCGCGTCTCGATTGCCGCCATTTGAAAAAAACGAAAAAATCGAAGGAACCGAATCCGGATTTGCAGTTTGTCAGATACAGTCGCTAGATATGGAGGACATCTTGGGCGTGCTGGGCTCGCTTTCGGACCTGCGCAGGGAGCTCGAGGTCCTGCGCAAGGTAAGCCAGGATCAGGAGGCGAAATTCCGACACAGTCAACATGGCGTCATCTGCGTTTTTTAGGCCCACTTCGAGGAGCTGGACCACCTCTTCTACGGCACGGGCCATCCGGAGGCGGAGGTCAAAACGAGGGACAGTGCTCCGGCGGCGAAGAGTCAGGAGAACCCTTCGGTGACACCGCAGCAGACGAAAAAGCGCCCCAAGCGACTCACCTCACTGGCCGAGGATCAGAATGAGCCCGAGGGTGAGTAACCTGGCGATCTTATTGCTTAAAAGGAAAACTATCCCTTTGATATTCCATTTTAGCAACTCCAGACACCACGGCTAACTCGTCAGCCCGTCAAGGCACTCGGGTCAGCAACTCCCAGCTGCTGGCCATTGCCGAGAACGAGCACGACTCCACGGCCTCGCTGATGCCGCCTCCGCCTGTGCCCGTCTCGGCGGACACCAGCCTCGTCGCCGGAAGGCCCCAGCGCGCCGCTAAGCTGAAGGGCGAGAAATTACTCAAAGAGCCGACGCTCAACCGTAAAATGCGCAGGCCCAGCAACGAGGAGTTCGTAAAGATCAAGATTGAGAGCGAGCAGCGTGTCTCCCAGTTCAACAGCTCCACCAGTGGACGGGCGTCAGAGGTGAAGAAACTGGAGGAGGCAGAGCTAGAAGACCCAGCAGCAGCCGCAGTGCAACAAAAGCCTCCAGAGGAAGACTCAACAACTGCGGACGTCAACACCACCAAGACACTCCGCGTGAAGATAAAACGCGAGAAACAGAGCAGCGAAGGATTGCCCCCGGTAACTGATGCGGTCCCCGCGGCAAATGTGACCACCGTCTCCGTAACAACGGAGGCAGCACGACCGGACGATACGGTGGCCAGCAACACCACGACGTCCGCGGAGGTATCCAAGAAGGGCCGCAAGAAGAAGAAGGACGCGGAAAGCCACCGACCCATCAAGGTAGAACGCTTCAGCGACCTGGACAAGAACTCGCCAGTCTCGTCGCGCACTCGCAAGTGTAGCACCGATTCGCGAACGAATCCGGAGCGATCAATATACAAGGACGCTCTCGAGGGTCCGCCCGTTGCAGAGCAATCTGCGGCTGCAGCTGCTCCGGCTGCTGTCAATGAGACCGTAACGATTGCCAACGCCAACGCGACCATGGTACTGGGTCCGGCGCCGACAAGCGAAAGCCCAATAGGACCGGCTGGGGATACCACTTTTGAGGTGCACTCCAACGAAAAGAGGTCACCTGTAGGTAAGCAAAACAGCCTCCTTACGGAGGACGAGTCGGTGGAGGAGAAGCGACCGACGACCAAGCTACTCTCGAGCATCAAGGCTATAAAACTGCCTACCCGTACACATGAGCTCTTCAAGTGAGTAGGACCCCTGCCTCTTCTTGCATGTGAACCTCTTAAACTATCTTTACTTTCTTACTTTTACAGCCCACTGCTTCAGAGTCCGGTGAAAATGCGCGTAGAGGCGTTTGAGAATGCGGCAAATGCACAGAACTTGCGCCCTAAGCGGGGAAATGATCTGGTAGGTCATTATTCTTGCAGCCCATAGCAAGCACAGACAGACATTGGGTTAAAATATTTACAATGACCTATCTTGTACCATTTGGCGATTACACGATGCTAACTTGTTCTTTTTCAACTCTTCAGCAGGGCACGCCAGGATCAAACAACACTCCCAAAATTGGCAAGCTGCCTGCTCCAACTATGGGACGCTTCTTCACGCCCACTCAAACGACCAGTACGCTTCCATTGAGCTCGGCGCAGCCCAAAAAGGGACCAGCCAGCGCGTCTAAGGCCACTACTCTGATGAAGACCGCCACCGGTACGAACCTAAAGTCGGTCAACTCCACGTCCACAAAAACGCTATCGCGCGAGAATAGCGGGGACGACTTCCGCAAGGGTCTGCACAACCTGGCGGAAGAGCGCAAGAAGCTGCGCGAGCAAAAACACCAGCAGGCTGCCCAGCAACGCGAAGCCAAGGAGCGGGAGCGAGCAGAGCGTATGGCCAAGCTGGCCGCCGAGCGCGCCAAGAAGCAGGAGGAGCGAAAGCGAATTGAGGAGCGCAAGCGGCAAGAGCTGGAGGAGCTGCAGCGGAAGATGCGCCAGCATGAGGAAGCCGAGGCCCTTAAAAAGGCCAAGCTCAAGGAGCTGGAGCAGCAGAAGCTGCAGCAGCTATCCGGCGCCAAGTCCAAGAAGATGCTTCCGCCACCGCCGAAAACCAAGTACACCTGGGAGATGCTGCACGAAGACGACTCCACAGACGACGAGGGCAAGGTCACGCACAAGCGTCCTCCTGCACCCACCTGGAGTCGAAGTAAGTATCAATACACAGAGGTAGAAACCACTTATTTTATATATTTCGAAGAATATTTTGCGAGATACATACTTTTTTCATCGGAAAATAATTTAATTTAATCCTATCTGAACTGCCAACATCTCAGTTGGATTTCCATTTCAACTAAAGGAAATGTTTTTAAGGCTTCGACTAACGATGCGTTCTTTTGCAGGCCATGTAAGGGGAGAGGCAATAGCTATGCAGAGCCACTGCCCAACCGACATCATCGACAGCTTCTTCTCGGTGGCGCCCACCACCCCGGACCTGAAGCAGATATTCCCGAACATCGATCCCAGCCAGCTGAAGCGAAACTCCAGCGTCCTGTGGTCCACGCCGCCGCGCTATTCCGAGCTGCCGAAATACTAACCAAGTAGTCCTGCTCTCTTCTCCCTTCTCCCGTAATGCACATGTTTATGATCGAATAAATAAAGTTAATTGTGAAAATTAAAGCGGAGTACCGCTGCCCGATTCACTGCGACTCTGACACTAATACCCAGCTGCTTTAGAACTATTAAAGCCGCCGGCGTGCTCAATTAATGGTTCGCTGGTGGCTGCTTGCCGATTCCATTAGCAAAGCTGCCCAACAATGGATACGTTGATTCGTGAAAAGTGTGAAAACGCAGAGGAGGCAAGAAAATGAAATGAAATAAAAGAAAACAAGCCCGGCAAACACAATTTCACTGGTCATGGGGCATGGTTTTGTGGCATGATGCGCAGACGATCGAACAGACTGCCTCGATTCGATACTCCTCCATGTTTCCATTGCTAATCCCACTTTTCCATCGAGCTATTCTCATTTGCAATCGAAAGCCGAAATCAGCGGAATCGGCATGGGCAATTTGCACAGTAATTGCTGCTGATTGGCATCGACTCCGCCTGGAAATCGCCGCGGATCCACCCAATATTCGATGGGACAATCTTAATCCGCGATCTAATTAAGGCGCGTACGCTCCCCAAATTGCCACTTTCAATTGTTACTGTTTCCGTTTAAGTGGACTCTGTTAGTAGCTCCAATTCCCCACGGACCCACGTCATTTGGGGCTGAATCTTTACTCCGCAGAGTCAAGAAAATTCCATGTAGCACATTGGATACTCTAGAAAAGCAGTAATAAGCGAAAGTCACACAACTATGTAAAATTACTTTGAATGCCATTCCAGAATGCAAGCCGTTTAGATTTTTCCTTCCTGCCTTTCAACCTTTCCAGCCCGTGTTGAAATTACTAGCATTATAGTAAACTTCCAATTTATGGAAATACCTTTCTATAAGTCTAGTATTATATTAATCTTTTATTATTATTAGTATTATATTATGTGCATTATTGCTCAACAGAGTTTTTAATGCCACCGCATACAGAGAAAAGGAAACTTTTTGCGAATATTGCCTTTGCGCCACCAAATCGAAAACCTATTTTGAAGAATGGAAGCGAAGATTGGCTGGGGAGCACTCTTCCGAAGAGCGGCCAAGCGAGCTCCGGTTTCTCGTTTCTTCGGCTCCGCGCGGATTCTTCGGGCTTCGCAGAGTCAGTTTGAGTCGAGCGTTCGAACGGTGCGCACCTGTTGACGGTTTTCGGTAGGTGAGCGTGGATTGTGGCCAGAAGCTGAAGAAGCCATCGCCGGTTAGCCGCCATCGGGCCCATGTGCGTGTGTGAGTGCGTTCGAGTCTATGAAAAGTGAATAACTTAGGAGGCATGCGTGTGAGTGCGAGTGTGAGTGAGCCAGAGAAAGAAACGAGTGTTTTTCTTGAAGTGAAGCAAACGGCGAATATGTAAACGTATGCCGAATAAATGATATTTGTGCTACGCGCATCTGTGTGTGTGGACAAGCAAAATACTCGTACATACAAACCCCAAGGCGGCAGCAACAAAAACTTCAAAAACTTTCTTTTTTTCGCGCTACCTTTTTGCTTGGCTGGCTTAGTTGGTTTTGGCTGCGGCCTTTGTTTACTGGGCTGCTGTGAAATTGCTTGCAAATTTATAATTTGTCCGCCGTTTCACTCCCAATTAGAGAGCCACTCGGGCCCGGGCCCAGGAGTGGAGAGCATTAATTGGGCTCTTTTCGCGCAAGAACCAGCGAGGCTGCGCACCGCACATCTCGCATCCGCCAGGTTGCCCCAACCGGATACGTGGTCCGCTGCAACCTGTCCGACGGCCTACACACGTCCGTCGACTGCAACGCGACCCGCTAAATTGCTCCAGGCCAAGTCCAAGTCCAAGTCCAAGTCCAAGACCAAGTCCAAGTCCAAGACTGCCCACTCCCGGTTCCCGTTCCAGCACTTGATACTGTTAGTTGTGCCATTTCGAGAGCACTTGTGCCAATTTCTATGGGGCAGCTGTCGCTTGATTTTTGCTTTTCGATTATTCAGAGTTGAGCGTTTTGCATTCCTTGAAGCCACAAAACCGCATTTCCACTGGGTTACCCGGTCCGGTTGGGGCCGAATCCGCAGCTGGATTTGGCTGCGTCGGCCAGATCTTCAATTTGGTGTGCCTTGTCGTTTTTGCAGTTCGTTTGGCCTAAACCAACTGGTGAAATTTTCCATTATTGGCGTTATTTATGTGCAAAATCTAATTGAAAATAACGTGCATTAGTGCTGCACGCAAAAACATCAATCAAATCTCGGGGATTTCAATCGTGTGATTAATGGAAACGCTTAGAGGTGAGTCCGAAATGGAAAATCCAGATCAGATACTTGTGAAAGGAGTGGAGGAGGCTTGAGGTGTAAACTGGCAGTACTAAAGGATATATCACACACCTACTTTTGTATACCTGACAGTCACAAAGGTCGGCAATTATCGGTTATGCAATTTTCGATTTCTTGCCTTGGACACTCTCATTTTCTCTTTCTCAGTCGATAAATCTCAACTCCCTTTTCATATTTACCTTTTCTTACACCTTCACCTTCCTTTGGCTCTTTGCCGGCTCAGAAATCGCTTACGCAACCGACAAACTCCGAAAAAAATGGCTTATGAAAAATCGCATGAGTCATTTAACTGAAGAAGACCAAAGGCGAAAGAAATGAAAACTAATTACGAGCTGCGACTTCCGCTGGCTGCCGAGAGTCCAAGGCCCGGGACGAAAAGAAAGCAAGTTGATAAAACCAAAAATTATTCCTATGAAAATGTAAACAACCGGCAGCGTGGGCGAGTCGCTCACTGGAAAAACACAACAATCCGCTGAAAAGTGGATTCGTTTAATGACAGCCCAGAAACCAACAGAAACACAGATGCGAACGGCCCACGAAAAAAATAGATTTTGTTGTGGTTTTGCTCTTCTGGCTGCTCACGTAAAACTTTCTATTTCACTGGGATTCTTCAAGCGTGCAGAGTTGATATTTCAAGGTTCCTTTCGAGACCAAAATGGGGGGTAAACAAAGGCCATAAGCGAAGATCTGCCAAATATCAGACTCAGACCTGGACTCGCGACTCATGGACTCATGGACTCATGACTCAAGAGCGACCGGTCCGATCCGGTCTGAGATCACGTACACATACAAATGGTGTATTCACTCGCATGCTGCAGCGGCAACCTTTACCTTTCCTTTCCATTTGCTATCTCCGCTGCCGCTGCTCTGGATGCTTTCACTTTCCAGCTAATGCTCGGCAATTGCTTCAGTTACTGCGGCTTGCAATGCTGGCTTGTTTTGGCTTCTGATTAGCACGCCAGCCATTGGGTAATCTCGGGCAGCTGGAATCGATTAGGGCACGGACAACTGGCGACAGATTATCTGCTCCAGTTGATGGCTCGCTGCGGAATTTCACTTTTGCTTTCTGGCACCTCAAATTGAGACTGGACTTTCGCTGCAGCCAATTTTTCAGCGTCTTGGACATCAATCAAAATTAGCATTTCAATCAGCCGAGTTCGGTTAGTTGCTGAATGGAACGCTTCAGTTTGCGTAACTGGCAACCAAAACCGAAGTTTTTCTGAAACTGTTTTCTTTTCCAGCCCTTCATCCGGCCGGGTTTATTGACTTACTCAGCCGCTGCTTATGTAAATGCTAATGCCACTATTGTGGAGTACTGCCGGTTAATGAGGGTTCGACCCATGGCTGTCTGACGCAATATAACAACAAAACCCGAACTGTGAGCTTTGGGGGCCCATGAAGGGGCGAGAAACGAGGTTTCTTATCAAAGTTCCTCAAACGCAGGCCCCAATACACACATGGAACATTAAACTATGCGAAAAACTCTACCAAATCAAAAGACTTAAGGCACGAACTTTATCATTATCTTGAACCTTTCGGCTGTTCGAATAAATAGTAGAAAGGGGTGTGCACTCAACCGAATTCCCCAAGAAGAAGTGCAAAAAACTCTTCCAAATCAAAAGACTGGAAGCCCTAACTTTTGCGTGTGATTCGACAAAAACGAATTCCCTACTATCAATGCAACAATATTTGCCGCGGACAAAACACTTAAGCCACAAAAAGCTTAGCATTTATTTTAGCTTATGTGCCTTGTTACTGCCAGCCACTCTGCCAAATCAAAAGACTTAGGGCGCAAACCTTAGCATTATTTTCGACCTTTACGCCTGTTTGACCACCTTTCTCCTTCCTTTCAGCATAAATACACTCGGTCAAAGCAAAACATGCCTCGCCAAAGCGCGGTTGATCAATAAAACAACGACATACCGAAAATAAATAAAATAAGCCCCTGACAATAAGAAGAAGAAAGAAGAAAAGAGTGTGCCCGCGGAACGCGCAGTTTATGCAAACATGCGACGAAAGCCACAGAACTTAACACACACTATACCATCGAGTAGAGCCGGAGACAGAGGCGGAGGCGGAGGAGGTGAAGCAGCAGGTCGGGACACCTCCCGGCCGTCAGCGATTTCCAACAATAGAATGCCAAGAGACCATCGACACTTGATGGCCATGGTCGTGTCGACGTTGCCACTGGCTCTTCTGCTGCTCCTCGTTCAAACAACAGGTAAGTCTTGGCCAGAGGGGCGTTCAGTGCGGCAAAAGGGGCTGGGGAGCACGACAGTAACATGCCCAACAAAAGAATTTCACATGCATTCAGTTAATAAATTGAACATTAATTGCTAGGCCTGTGTCTGCAGTCAACTTTCACGGGTTCGAACAAAGTGGGAGGATGAAAGTTGAGATAAAGCCAACAGATCTTTGCATAGATTATGCGATTGTTGCAAATTCCTCTGGACTTGTCCTCATTGGAAATTGCATTACCTTCTGCATAGGAATACAAATATTGTTCCTATTGGTTAGGAAGTTATATCGAAACCAAATGCACTCTTGTGCAACAAGGACCCACTCCACCTTGAGGTCATCTTTCCACTTTTCTTCCACAACTATACGCATCATCCAAGCGAATCGTTCGCACTTGTTCTAGTGGATCTTATCTCAAGTAACCATATGTTTTCACCATGGGTTCTGCTCAAGCGAGCATTTAGTTATTACAAACGGAGATACTGCGAGCAGCTTTTCCACACGTGAGCATAATTTCAATTTTTAATTTGATACATACCGAGGAATGTCGGTTCACAAAAAGCTGAAAATAAGAAAGAATTCCCCCGACGTGCCAGCACTTGATGAAGATGCTTCAGGCAGTTACAGGCATTTCTTGCCAGCACTCGTACGTGATTATTCTGCTCATTTTCGTCTTCTGGCTTTTAGAAAGCTTGCCTTTGCTGCATAATTTATTAGGCGTTACTAAGAATGCATAGCTGGGGGAATGGGGTGGGTAGGGGCATCTGGCATCTGGCATCTGGTACCCAAGTACCTACCTTCAAACTGTGCCAAACGTAATGAAGTGTGCTAACTGTACTGAGTTGGAGGTGCCAGCACACCCGAACAAGTGCGTTCAATTGTCGAGCAGAAGTTTGTTGCTTCCCTTTTTGCACTGAAATACGGGCTTGACCCACTAAAAACCCAGATATGTCACATGGGTGACACATTTCAAACGACTTTAAGCCCCCAAACTGGGTTGATCGCATCTGCAGCTCGGTCTCCAGTGCCGACGATTCATGATTCATTGGCCAGCGTCCACGGAAGGTTAGCTCGAGTTGCACAATTGCGATTATTCATACCGGATTCATTGACTTTTGCTGGGCTTGTCTTGTGTTTTTTAGTTTACTTGGCTCCACCTCGCTTTGTCGTTTACAAAGTGCGTGACGTGCGTGAATCGAAGTTAATTAAAGTTTATTATGACTTGAGCGGCGTGGCTTACAATCGTAAAGTGACTCTGAGCTGAGCTTATGCAATATGTGAAAATATGGGAAAAACTATTCAGAATGACGAAGGGTAAAGAAAATATTATGCATTCCTAACCAGAATCTGCAAAAAAACTGAATAAACAATACACAATAAATACACAATTAGTTAGAACCCATGACTTATCCAAAGTTGAGATTATTATTATTATTAAGTTTATAAATATGTTTAGATGTTTAAGCTTAAGTAAGGTTTCTCTAAAAAATGTTGTCCTACAAATTTTCAATGCAACGTAATAAATATGTCCATTAAAAAACAATTTGAAAATCTAACCTTTTAGGAAGTAAGATTTAAGGAAGTAAGATGCATAGCACTCTGAAAAATTTTGATTCGTAGCTAAGCATGTTAAACTATTGGTGTCTATTCAAACAAGCCTTCAAATAAAAACAAGATAAAATGCTATATAGTTCCCCGACTATCAGATACCCGTTACTCAGCTAGTGGAAGTGCAAACGAGAAATTTCAACATTTTCTGGAATATAGGTAGAAATTGGGGGAAAAATAATAAAATAAAAAAAAACGTGAATTTATTTAAATGTGTGGGTGTGACCACATCGACTGGTTTATTGCTCCCGATCAAGAATATACACTTTATATGGTCGGAAACGTTTCTTTCTGCCTCTTACATACTTCTCAACGAATCCAGTATACCCTTTTACTCTACGAGTAACGTGTAAAAAACATTGACTACACAGTATTTGCAGTCTTTAAATAAAAGTTAAAGCTCTGCTAGGATTTCATGGCTGCTTGGAGAGAGATTTGTGGCTTGCTAAACCGCATTGGGTGCCAACTTCCCATGTGAGCTACAATTAAGGCGGAATGGCCCTCACCAGGAGTACAGTGGAGTGGATTCCGAGGCGCGGCTCCCATTTACTTATGCATTCCATCATATAGCTGCTATTCCCTCCGCCAGGGGAGCACTCCACTAAAACCGCTTAATTGCACGAATCCGGGCGAATCCAACTGAGGCGGGCAGCTCTCGGCGGGCTGGAATCAATTAAAGCTAACTGCACTGTTTACTGGGCCACTTGAAGCGGGGCCAAAACCTTTCATGCAGCTAATAAGCCGCATTAGCATGGGGAATGGAATATGGAATTTACATAGAGCCGGGCGGGAAAATTGGGTGAAGTGAAAATTTACAGCAAGCCTAATTAAAAGAAAACAGAATCTCTCGGCGCCGGACTGCTCAGTTATGGCTTAGTGAAACAGAAAGAAGCGCAGCAGTGCCACGGTTATTACAGTTACACCCAGCTAACGGCTTTTGGGGGCTTTCGATACGATACTCGGAGCGAATTGAGCCATTCGAGGCCCTGGAAAAGTGTCAAAGAAAGCGCCATGAGTTGGGCTTTTCTGCCCGTGCTCCCGGTGCGCAGTTCCAGCATTGCTGTGTCTGCGAATCGCCGCAGAAGATCGATGGTTTCGATCGGGTTCGGTGGGGAAGTCAGCTATGACACTGTAACCCGCTGACTTACTACCGCAACCCGATGGGTTTTTCGATTTCATTTCCCTTCGTTTCTGAGTTTCCCCCTCGCGCAGAGCCCCTTCCTCACTCACAGCTGCTGTGGGCTGATTAAGTTTTCAGATTAGCTGGTTCCACAGGCAGTTTTCCCTCACATTTTTGAGTTCTTATTTTGTTTTTTGGCACATTTCGGTTACATGGCCCACTTGCCCGGCTCCAAAGAGCGAGAGGTACAATAAATAATCAAAAATCCACTGCCTGATGCGAAAGAGGAGGAAGAAAGAAGCCGCCGTCGTTGCAGGCTGAGCAGAAATTTATCGCTTGACTCTTAATTGGGTCAAGAGGCAGGTTCGTTCGGCAGGTTTCTCACATATTCTTGATCTTGGCTTGAAGGGGATTCTGGGGATTCTGGTAGCCTGTTCACCTGTTCACAGACTGGCAATGCTGACGCAATTAATAATTTAATTTTTTGAAGGCTTTTGAAGCCGGTAAGAAAAGATTATGGCAGCTGCCCGAACGTTGGACTGTTACTGACCGATTGGAAAGCACTTTTTTGCCTTTGTTGTATGTAGTTCAGTAAGTTTTTATTTACTCTCCAGCATCCATAATATTTTAGAATGCGTTGGTATACCAAAAAGAGTAGCGAAAGATGTTTCAGTCTCAGTTCTCAAAAACCCAACAATCAAATTTCTAATTTCATTTCCTTGAAAGTGTCATGTTGCCCTTCTCACCCAGTCGATATGGCATGCTTAAAGCTCGTAATCAGCTCACATGCTGATCGCCAATAATCAATTTACTCCAACGTTTCCCCACCCTGACTGGACCATTCAATTAAAGCCGAGCACCGACTGATCTCGAGTTGGGTTCCGATTGCCCAATCAAAGCGTGAAACCGAAGCCGTATCAGTGACTGCATACTTTCCCTTTCCCGTGAGAAGAGCGACGGCTCTCGGATCGGGATGTCCAAAATTGTACAATGAAATTCAGCACATCGAAAGTTGCCAGGCACGACACACAGTCGCACAGTCGGACGCACACCCATCGGCAGGTAGAGCCAACTGAACCCACAATTTATGTCGTTTTGGTTTCTTTTTATTTTTCCCTCTCTTCCTCCGATCTTTAATGGTCGTCCTGGGGCGCTGTGGGCCAAATTAAACTGCGGTGTGCTGTGGGAGAACAGAGAGGCTCGCCGCCCAGAAGAGGGTGGGGTGGGGCCCTTTCCTGGAGTCATGTTTTGGCGTTGACTACCAAAGGTAATCAATGAAATTCTGTTTTTATGCTCTTGCTGAATTTTGCTTGGGAGACAGCTGAAACCGGTTCCCAATGGAATTTTATAATCGCAGACTCTTCACGAATTTAGATCCAGCTAGTGAATTTGGCCAGAACAAAATATGAAACACATGTCACAGGAAATGTCTGACAACCGACCGCTAGGCATTTCATATGACTTACTCTTTAAAACTCAGGGGAAAGGAAAGGGAATATTGAAGCTGTAAAATAAAAAGTTCCAGACAAACATGTTTTGAATTGAACAAAAGTAGTAATAAATACTTTTACATGTTTTCAAGAGGCACAAAGATTTTAATAAGTACTTCCCATTATCAAATCGAAAGACTTAGGCAACGAACTGGATCACATTAAGTTTGCATAGTATATAAACTTGCACATTCCAACCTCAATTAATAAACCAAAATAAAAAGAAATGACAAAAAGAACCGACCATAAAAGTCCGTTAAATGGGTGCAGTTAACTGGCTATCCAAACAAAACAGAGACCCGAATGACACAATAATACCCACGCTCACTCACACTGGCGCAGCTACCCATTTATATTTCTTTCTATTTGGCACGCAGTTGGAAATAGTCCAATAAAAAGCTGGCTGACTGACAGCTTGTATATAAAGTGGTATTCTTTCTGTGTAGAGAGCCGGTTCTGGTGACCACTTGTTGTGGACTCTTATTTGACACACACACAGTCAGTCCTGAACTTGTCACAGACCATTAAGACCATATTGGCTGGCAACTAGTTTCCGTTTGGCGACTCCACTTAAGCCGGCTACTGTGGGTACAATGACCCAGTTTCGCTGGAGCTGTGGAGATGAGAAATATTGCTATGGGAAACGCAGAGAGAGAGGTATCCATTTGCCTTTCAATCAATATGTTTCGAGCTTCAGCTCAGCTCCACGCGGCATTAAATGTGCGATTGCCTGGAGCGGGATCATCATCTTTTTCGTCTCTAATGCGCTATTACATATCCAGTGCTCCATTTCTGCTCTCTCAAGAGAATCTTTATAATGGTTCATTGGGATCTTGGTGCTCCACCACCTTCCGCAGCACTGGGTTACTGACCCAAGCCAAGCTATTGACTGCTAAAGTATTCTCATGGCGTGTTTGGGGGCTGCACCGAATGCGATTTCAACTATTTACCAGCATTCCCCAAGAGATCGTGCAGATCGCTTATCGCCAGCTAAATTGCAGCCAGTTACAGGGCTTAGTCTGGTTCTGGCCTGGCCATTAGGGGCCGCGGCTCCTGCGACTTAATTAAACATGTGAGACAATTAGATTCCATAAGTGGGGCCATTAAGTCGGGCCTGGGATCCCTGCGCCTGCCCCGAATTTTCTATTGAAGTCCGAGACTTTCTGCCAGCTTCTTCGCACTGCAACGTTTACAGGCAGCGGAGCGCAAGCCGGCAATAAATTTCCCCTTTAGCTTGGATTTTTGGCCTGGCTTAGACTCGGCTCTCAGCAGGCAGCAGAGCGAAACTAACTGCAGCAGCCGCATCCGCGGAAGCCTGACCAAAACAGAAACGCAGTTGCGCAGCCGGACAGCAACCGCCTTTAGCAATGGCTTCCACTTCTACCTCGACTTTGGCTTCGTCTTGTGCTCCCAACCTAAGGCGGTTAGATCAGAGCTAGACCTTGATTAAGGTCATTCGCTTTGGATCCACGTCTGAGGGGCTAATACAGGGATGCAGCCCGAACACCGCGAGAAAAACCAAGGTCAAGTGGGACGATCAAATAAAAAAAGTTTCCCGAAGAGACACAGATTCAACTTGCATTTCGTCGCAAAGTTGAAATAAATAATTTGCCCAGTGCAGACAAAAAAGCTCTTGGATAAAATTGTTAAATCATTTCGAACTGCAGCCACGCGCTTGCAAAGGAAAAACTCTCGTGCAGCGCCAAAGGCCAAGCGTCATGGTCTCTGTGGCTGAATAAGATAAACCACTAAATATGGATACGGAAAATCAGCTTTCCAGCGAAATGCTTCAATTTCACCAGACACTACTTTGGGTCGAGTGGAGTGCAGGCTGCCTCATGCTGCCATGTGTCGGTTGTCGTCGTCACTTCGTTAATTGCAGCTCATGCAACTCAGCCGACGTCTCACAGCGACGGAGAAAAGTCTGGCCAAGATGCTCTTCAAGTTCTACCATGGCCAATTGTTGGTGCCGACGGCTCTTGAGCAACAACACCAGCCAGTTGACGGCTTGATTGCACAAGTGCTTGGACCCGGGCCACAGATACTTTATTTGCTTTGCTAATGAAAAGCGCGAGGAATGACTCGGCAGCTCCCACGGATCGGATGAGGGCAATCTGGACAGGTCGCACTAGAACCCACTGCTGCACGGCTTTCCCTGGCCATTGGACTGCGTCCACTTCCTCAGCCTTGGCCACGACGCCCACAACGAAAGTCGAACGGCCAGCAAATCAATTAGCACTAAATCAAATTTTAATGCTTTACTTGGACGTTAGATATCGCCCAGAGACCCTTGTATTGGATTGGATTCGGTTCAGTCCGTCCCGGCGGTTCTAGATCTCTGCATTCGGGGCGTGGCTGCTTCGATGGCATTCCGAGCTAAGGGACTGACCACATCTCTGCTTTAAAGAATGGCTTCGCCGTTGGGTCTGCGGACTTCACAAATGGGCGGTTGAGTTATGTTTATGGGCCAATTCAAAGAGCTGAAAGAAGCTCAGGATAGAAAACCATAAAAATAGAGAGGTGAGCGATGCGTTTGGGATTTCTTTAGATTCGTTTCATGATGGTTCATATTGTGTTCGGATTACTTGAAAAATGCAAATCATTGCCCTTTTTACTTCTTATAAACAAAAAGCATTCGAACAACTTTCATTGCATTATACCTTAGGGAAATGCCTATCAAAATATATTTTTGCAATAAAAGAAATGCACACAAAATAATAAAGCGGCACAAATAAAGTCGCATCATATTTTCTATAGTTATTTTATTGATAAAATACGCGCCTTCCGGCACAGCTTGTAATTTAAAAGCAATTACATAATTCTATTTATGGTGAAAACATAACGAATTGTCGCCTGCCGTTCGAGCAGCCCCTTAAATTATACTATTACATAATCGAGCCAGCCTTCTACGCCTGCGCAATTGCACACTGAAAGTGGCCAGGGCATACATGTCGTATGCGCAATGTTTGGGACGTGCGTTAAATTTTGAAGTCGGAACGGAAAATTGTGGTATGTCATAAGCAATTATCTGCGCCAGCTTTGCGCACATTAGAGGCGAGCAGGCGGACTTAATTTCTGTTTTGCTTTTGGCCACGTTGGGAAACAGTTGAAAAGTGCAGCGAAATAGAAAGTGATTTCGTGTCGGCGAGTTGGAGGCGCTGAAATCGCCAATTTGAGTGGAATTGGAGTCGTGCCTGGCGTTGGCTTCAAGCAGAAGGAATGGGCGCCGTGTGGGTTGGGCTGGAGCTGGAAGAGACCCGAGAAGAGACAGGGCACCAGTCGTGCGTCCTCGCCGGAGCTCCGCGGAGTAGCGATCGAGTTAGTGTGGGCAAGCACTGGAACTAATGACGACTCTTGCTGGTGTCCCCGTGCCGTTGTCAAATCGGGTGCATTCAACCCAGCCCGTCTGGATTTAATGGCCAAGAGATCCGGACGCCAAGTGGTTTTACTTTCGTTGCGGCCTGGCCGTGAAAGTGTGGCATGCCCCGCTCCGAAATGGAATTCAATTTTCGTTCATTCGTTCACCAAATTGCGTTACACATTTAGCCAGCTCTGTCCAAGAGTGCCTGTTTCACAGCCGCCGGCTCACTTTTACCGCCACCCCAATCAAAATCGGAATCCCAGACGCACTTAGGCTCGCAATCAATAAAACCAAAAGGAAAACTGCAAAACTGGAAAATGAACAATTCGCAGCAAGGAAAGTGAAAACTGTGTCGCCAGCTTTTGTTTCGCCTGCCCAAAAGGAAGCGCTAATTATATCAAAATCGCAACAAATAGCTGGCGCGAAGAAAGTGAAACAAATATTGTGTATTTCAATCGGTGGCGAGCCAGTTTAGCGACAGGTGAAAGTAAAATCTGTGCCAAACTTAATCAAAAAACCACGACACTCAAAAAGAGCCACCAATGCAACTCGGCAATTGGGTTAAGCTCAATAGCTAAACGGGTTTCTTGGAGCGAGTGTGAATTATGACTGTTGTGCCGACCTAAACTTGTTCTGGCCCTCCTCCTCAAGGCCCAAAAGATGACATGCACCCGACACCCAAAAAATGGGGAGAAAAGTACAAAGTCGTAGAAAGCCCACGGCAAACAAATCTCCTCGGAAGGTGTCAAAGATCTCAGCGAGATCTACGTTTGCTTGAAAATTCACAGCTTGAGTATTGATGGATTCAAATGTGGTGCCGAACGGGAATCAATAAAACGCGTCATTTTGACCTCGTTTACTTGAAACCCATTGTAGGACACATTCGTAGCATTCGGGTCTTTACTGTACTTTCAATCGCTGCGAATGCATGCAAAATTACTGCGTTTAGATTGCATCTTCGATTGTATTTCTCCCGGTGCGCTGGCTGACTGGATGAGAGTTGAAAATTGCAGTGCCGATGCGATGCGATAAGAGTGCCCATTCAAGATCTCCGCGTTCGACAAGCTGGGTTTGAGAGCTTGTCCCCATTCGATTGCCATCTGCATTCTACAAGTCACAAATCTATATTTAAGTTGCTTGTGGCGGCTCTGCCATATCCGAGGAAATGATGAAAATCAGCCGCTGAATATCAGGGGAAAAACAACTCGGCTGGCATCTTTTCAACGCTTGACGTAGCAATTTGTGAAATTCTTCCTAGGCTGCCAAGCGAGTACAGATCTGCCCGAGGCCACCGATCAATGCACGAGTATCCATGTGTGGAGCACCCAGGGTAATCAGTAATAAGCCTCGCATTGTGACAGATGCATCCACACACCGTGTGCGCAAACCCACAATTTTGAAGGAAAACAAACACAATTATATGCAAAGATAGTGAAAAGAATCCGAGGGGCGGGCAGAAAGACAAAGACTGCGGCTCAAACCTGACATCGAAAACAAATGATGCCTGCCAAGCCTGCGACAGAGATGGAAACTGATCCGAGCCGACTTTGGATGGGCTGGGCATTATTTCCTCCACATGTAAATGAATCGCGTTGACAATGACGGAGTGGTGGCTGCGCTGGGCGAGCTGGATGGGATTGGGACTGGGAGGGAATGAGGGACTGGGGGGCAGGTGCATGGGCAAGTGAAAAGTGAAACTCCAATGTGAAGATTCTGGCTATGCGATGATGGCTTCGCGGGAAAAGGAACGTCGGAACTCAACGCTCTTTTCACTCAACCATTTCCCTTTCTTGTCGTTTTCTTGTGGCATAACATTGTGCCCATTGAAGACTCATATTTTGAAATTGATTTGATTGAATAATATGAAAGAGCTGACCATAAAGTTTGATTTCATATTGGCCCCCCTTTTACGAGCGAATATTACTTGTAAATATGAGTGTTCAGTAAAGGTGTACATTGTATACCAAGTATCACTCAATAATAGGCGTCACTAGAGCCTCCATCGCTGATCTCCACTTACTAGTTCGATGGACTCGGCTTGATCCTGCTTAGGAATACATATAGTTTATAGGGTCAGAAAAGGGAACCCTTTAATCTAGTTATAATAGTTATTAAAATTATTGGTATGAACCCAATTTGGAACATATTGTCTAACATACTTGTCCACCAACCTTCACAGCTGGCCAGCACGAAAGCGTCTCCCAGATCTCGCCTAAGTCGAGCAGCCACCGCAACCCGGCCCGCCAGATGATCGAGAGCACCATGGCGGACTCCATTAACGGCCTGGCCGAGGGTCCATCATCGCCCCTGGACGTGAACGATAACGAAACGCGGGCGGAGCGCGTGGAGCGCTCAGCGTCGCCCATTTTGCGTGACCAGCAGCCAATCGGACCCAACGACGTGCACTACCCGGAGGATGTGGAGAAGGACGTGTCCGCCGGACGGTACTTCCACTACAACATCAAGCCCACGGGTACGTTCGACAACCAGGATGAGCAGCCCGAGCGCACGCACCAGGGGATCAGGGCTGGGAAGACTCTGTCTCGAGGTGGCAGCAGCGCAGAGCAGTCTTTTTTAGGGCGGGGGGACCTGCGACCGCTAGTGTCGGGGTCCCCGATCCGGCCGAGTACGAGCAGTACTGCCACCTCAGCGATGGCAGCCAGTGCCACCCAGGCGCCGCATAGTCCGCGCCAGAACGGAAACCCCGACATCCAGGACATCATAACAGGTATCGTCAAGCTGCTGAACGGCAATGTCAATGTCCACGCTAATACACAAGGTATCAGGCGGCCCTCGGCCAGCAGGATCAACAATCGGGGCCCACCGCGGATCTCCGAGACCCAGAACCTGCCCATCGACTACGAGGCTCAGAAGCCCGGGACTTCGATGCGTCCGCCGCCGTATCCCTTCGATCGGCCGGAACGACCCTTCATTACTGGTGTTCCCATTCCCGAGCAGATTGTGCCCGTGCGTCCGGGATTCGTGAGCAATCGTCCGCCCTGGTACCGCAACAAGCCACGCCCACCCATCGCCACCAGTGTGGGCGGCAATAGGAGACCCCTGCCCCAATATAAGCCTCTCCCAGCTCCGCCAGCGCAAGCGCCTCTTCAGCCGCAGGAGCTACCGGATAGAAAGAACGAGCAGGAGAAGGAGCAGGAGCAGAATCATCAGGAGCAGTCGCAACCGACTGATGATGCGGTGCTGCCCACCGACACCACATACGACTCGGAGTTCTCCAACGAAGATGCCAATGCCCAGTACATCGAAGTGTCCGATCAGGATACGGACGGCGCTGGCGGAGAAGTAGAAGACGAGCTGCAACCGCCTCCCCCTCCACCGTCCACAACCAAGAGTCCAACAACTTCCCCAACGAGTCCCTCAAAGAAGAAGCACAAGCCAAAGCCAGGAAGCGAGAAGAATAAGCTACCCGAGGAGTCTCCCCACGATGAGGGCTTCACCACCATTATTGAGACCAGTTCCGTGGTGCACACCGTGATGGGCATGTCCTCCACGTATGTGCCCATGTCCATGGACACTTCAGAGAGCCTTGGTCTGGATCCCTCCACCGAGGAGGTGATCTTCATGACCGCCAACCGAACACCCAGTCTGGAAGCAAGTGTCACCTCCGCGCTGGGCACCTCCTCGTCCTCCAACCCGGCCTCCGCCATCCAACCTACGTCCTCCAAAGAACACACCACAACCACCACTACCACCACCACCACCACCACCAGCTCCACCTCAACCACTGTCCCGCCATCTACTACGAGTACCACTGAAAGTGTGTCGCCTAATAGTTCCAATGCTAACACCAATGCCACTCCGCTCGCCCCCTACCATCCCCGTCCTGGGATAGTCCTTGATGACCCTGAGTTTAAGCCCGGCAGTCGGCCACGCCCACCTATTCAGCGACCACCCACCCAGCAGACCCTTCCCCTGCCAGCGGTGCAGCCCACCCGCCAGCATCTGCCACCCGGCTACGGGGAGATCTTCGACGTCACGTTATCCGCCATCCAGGGACCGGGTCCCAAGGGCAGTGGCTCCCAGCAGACGATCAACATTAAGCCATACGGAAGCTATGCGGCGGGCGGAGGTCAGGGCGACATCATCGTGTCGGCATCAGGTGACGACGGCTTTGTCTCGATCGACGGCAAGCGCACTTACATCAATCTCTTTGGTGACCCCACAGATCCCCCAGCGGGCGCCACAACGCCAGCCACGCGGCTACCCCAGTTGCCCGGCTCTGGATCGGGCTCAGGAGCGGGATCCACGCCGGGAGTTGGCGCCAGCAGTGTTGGTGGTGGCAGTGGTTCCTCCATCTCGCCTGCTGCCTCTGCGAACGCAGTCACCCAGAGCAGTGGTGGCTATGTGGTGCCCGAAACAGAGGTGGTGGACCTTCAGGGGCACAGCAAGCCCCAAGGCGGAGCGCCCACAACAAATGCCGGACCCACGAGGCCCCATTACCGCCAGAGGCCAACGCAGCCGCCGGTGAGGATCGACACCTGCATCGTTGGCGATGATTCCACCTGCGATCAGGCGCAGCACGAGCGATGCAAGACGGACAGCGGCGTCTCCAGCTGCCACTGCAGACCAGGTGAAATCCCACGGGAACCTATTGAGTTGGATGATCTATGTATGCTTATATGAATGGAATTCCTTAGGTTACTCCCGGCGAAAACACAGGGAGCCGTGTCGGCGGGTCATCTCCTTCCACCTGGGCATGCGCGTGGACCGCATCTACGAGCACCGGATTGTGTGGGACACCAAGCTCATGGACAAGCACAGCGAACCCTTTGGACAACTCAGCTACGAATCAATAAGAGCGGTTAGTTAGTATATAAAAAAAAATACTAATTCCATAAAAGCTTTGGTTTGGGGCGGATGCCATATTAACATAACTTGAATGATTCCTCTTTCAGCTGGACTCCGCCATGTCCATGACGCCCTACTCGGACGAGTTCATGGAGGCGAAGGTGAACAACATCTACCGGGGCGACCCCAATCTGGGCGGCAGCGGCGTCTACGTGAACATGACCATCAAGGTATGTACAAGTAGTATCCAGGCAGGGCCACTGATTAACTTATTAACTTCCTCCTGCTCCAGCTGGATGAAAGTGTGGAAACATTGCGACCCAATCTGCGCAGCGACGTTCAGAAGCATCTTCTGGGTGTGCTCCACAGGCGGAACAACAACATCGGCAACTCCGTGCTGTACGTGAGCTCTCCGGAGGGCGCTGTGTCTGCTCTGCAGGATCTGGATGAGTGTCAGTCGCCGGAGCTGAATGACTGCCACCCCGGCGCCAGCTGCAGCAACACCTGGGGCAGCTTCCGCTGCGCATGCGAGGCAGGACTTCGTGATCCGTGGGCTGACCAGCCAGCGCGATCTGGACGCGAGTGCCAGGCCTGCGCCGACTCCGTCTGCAACAACCACGGCACCTGCAGCTACGCGGAGGATGGTGCTCAGGTGTGCACCTGCGACTCCAGCCACTATGGCGCTCAGTGCGAAATCGACGGCGAGGTGTTGGGCGTGGCTATCGGCGCCTCCGTGGCGGCCATAATCATCATTGTCCTGACCCTGGTGTGCCTGATCATGTGGTCGCGGCGCTGGCAGCGCGAGCAGAAGAACGCCATGGGTTCACCCGTGTTTGGATACATGAACACCGCACCCCTCAAGTCCGCTGGATTGCCCCAGGCCGGCTACCAGGTGACCCTGGAGGACCGCATGCGCTGGGCCCAGATAGCCGACGTCATGGCCCAGACGAATCACTACGGGGTAGGTATCTGGCACTCAGCCAGGGAGTAAAAGGAATGAGATTGCTCGGATGAGATGTCCAGGATCTGGCCAACTTGCAGCTTGCGAATACTAATTACTATTCCACATTCTGCACCAGCAGGCTGAGCCCATCGGACCCACTAGACCTTCGTCGGCTATGTTTGCCTACCCCAACCTGGGCGCCATGGGAATGGGCACCCTGGGCGGGATGTCTCTGCAGAGCACCATGCAGATGCATCCCAGTGCCACGCTGGCGCCTCCAGTGCCATTGCCCAGGTATGAATCGTCGTGGTCCAGCTGAATGTATAACCCGTATTGAGTATGCTCTTCTTTGACTTAGAAGACTTGGCCTGGGTCCCCGCTCAAATGGAATGCGCACTCTGGAGAACTCCAGTTCCAGCGAGGAGGAGGATCGCGCCGACCTGCTGGGACGCAACTTCCAAGTGCCACGTCCCAAGAGTCGCAGCAATGGCAGCATAGCGGTAGGATCTTAATCATATCGATGTACATATATAGCACGTACTATTTATTCCCTCGATCTCTCTACTTGGAACAGAACCAATCCGGCATCTACTACGATGTGGACTACGAGCCGTCCGGGAACGGGATCGGCAACTCCAGCGTGGACCACCTGTACGGGTCGCAGAATCAGTCCGTGACGCACTCGTCGGGCCACAGCCACATCCCGGGACCCCAGGGCATCCCGATGAGCACGTACACCTCCGGGCGAGCTCCCAGCAGCTACTACATGAAGTGACCCCTGGCCGAAGAGAACCCACAACACCAACCTTGTACATATGCAATCTAGAGCTAGACTAAGGCGACTAAAACCCTTTTCCACTGCCAGTCCCTGCGGCGACTGCAGCTGAGACGCGTTTTTGAGGATGAGAATCGTAGACTTAGGACCATAGACTTAGGACTATAGATTTAAGCGATGCAAACCACAACTAATCATTACATTTAAAGCTATTCTAAACCTCTAAATTATTTCACTGAAAGTCAAGACCCGTAAAGTAGTTGCTCAGCTTACTATGTTAATATCTGTGAACTAATTAAGATCACACAGTAGGATGTCTATTTATGTAAATAAATGAATAAAAGATCAAAATTTACCGACTTCAGCTTCACAGTGGCTGCAAAACTGTAAGACTGCCGAGTGCGTGGCTCTATCTCGCTCTAGCGCGGAGACTTAGGGCTGCATAAATCAATGCGTTGGCTAGAGAGGGACGACTACTGTTCGAGTGACGGAACGTGACAGCTATTGTTGTGCCGCAGTTGGATTGGCGCGTACTTTTAAATCGTTAATGCAAAACAAAAGTGATTCAAATTTGAACAAAATTAATTAGAATTGGTATTACAGGTACAAGGAATTATTTTTGGGTATTTCAGGGATTAAATATCGTCATATAATTATGCCCTTTTACTCGTGGAGTAACCTAGACTTGTTGAAAAGTATGTAACACATAGCAGGAAGCGTTTCCGACCCTATAAAGTCCAAATATTTAAGAGCTGGCTATGTCGGTCTGTCCGTCCTCGATCTCTGGAACTATAAAAGCTTGAACGTTGAGATTAAGAATGCAGATTCCAGAGACACAAACGCAGCGCAAGTTTGTTTTTAAATTTTGTCATGTCCACTTTGTCGCCCACAAACACGCCCACACTTTTGAAAAATGTTTTGACATATTTTCCTTTTTTTATTACCCATGTAAATTTCTATAGGTTTGCTAAAAAACTTTTTCCCACATAACTTTCACGCCCACACTTTTAAAAAATTTTAAAGTTTTTTTTCATTTTATTATTTTTCCCCCAATTTCTACCCATATTCCAGAAAATGTTGAAATTTATCGTTTGCACTTCCACTAGTTGAGTAACGGGTATCTGATAGTCGCTTCATGAAATGTTCCAGCATAAAGAAGGTACAATTTTATCCTAAGAAACTGAAGAATATGTTACAATACATATACAGACATATTTGTAACTAAACTTCTCTATAAAATTTCTTAGCCGTTTCTCTTCTCCTTCAGCTTACTAATAGCCTTCCTGTTTGTATACAGGGTATAAGGGGTATATTGACGTCAGTCGTTTCCAGTTTTCTGTCAAGATATAATTTCGGTCTTAATTTGACCAAAATCGCATGTCATATTACACTGCAAATTAGGTGTAATTAAAAAAAGGAATTATAGTCTCCTTGTTATTGATTATAGAGCACTCTTATAGCATTACTCTTTATATCTTATTTGTTATTTTTTTTTATATAAATATACAAGGTATATCGGCTTGCCGAAGCTAGCTTTCTTCTTGCTAATTTATAACTCTCACATTTTTTGAAGAAAGAGAAAAGTCACGCATAATTTATGACAATTTTCGGACGCGGTCTTCGCCGCAGTTCACACGCATAAATAAGTTAAGGTATCTGAAAGAATGATGAAAATAATATCTGTGCGTCGCGACTGCGTGAGCCATTTGTTGGAAAAGTGTGGAGGCGGTGAAGTCCTCTTATGCAACTCATCATTGGTCGTAGTCGTGCTCGGGTCGAGAAGCGGAATGGCACTTGAAATGGGGATTTCCGAGGTGAAGTGTTGAACCACCAGCAAGCAAAATAAGTGATCACACTATTTGGGTAGTCAAGCAAATATTTAATTAAGATGTTCTACAGACAGAGTTGACCTACGTTTTGCATAATGATTTACTATTTTGGGTATTTCAACGCAGATATTTTAAAGTGGCAACAGCAAACACACCGACATCCCAATTATAAAATATATTGCATTACATTCAGCTAAAGTCTATAAAAGATATCTGTGTTAGTCTACATGTTACAGATATGTCACTCGGCTACTCGAAACCCGCAGGGGCAAATGGACTTGACAAGTCCGCCGCTGAGGCAAACACATCATCACCTGAGAGATCATCAATATTTGGCCATTATGTGACGCTAATTCGCGCGTGAATGCGTGCGAAGTTCAATGCCGCGCGGGGTTTCAAAGTGGCGCTGCCTAATTAATCGACATTCGCCAATTGTTGGTAGCTTTTTGGGAGGTCGAGTCCGTCTCTCTGGGCCATCGGCACCGCGAACCGCGTTAATTACGCTTATTTAATAATTATCCGTTTGCGGTGACTAGTAGCGCATTGCACAAAACTGGGCTCAAAGCGATCGTTTCATTACATCTGCAAATGGTGCTCCACCACCACAGCTGACCCATTTTCCTTTCTTTTCGCTTTTTCGCGCTGCTTCTCCTCTTTTCGCAGCAATGACGCTGCAATCCTCCAGTTCGTGCCCGCCATCCGTCCATTCAGGCGCCGTGCCACGCAAATCACGTAGATGTCGCGGAGGGCCGTAAAAAATTAAGTAAAATACCTCGCACGCATTCCATTAGGTTCGATTTGCCGCTGTCGGTCAGTTTTTGGCCATTTGCGCTTGTTATTGGGCCACATTGTGTCATTGATTATTGCGATTCCACGCGGCCTTCGCGCCAGCGGAGGTGTCAAGTCCAAAGATACCAGGAGGTGGATTGCGGCACTTGGGATGTTCTGATGCGGACCAACGCCTCCGTAGTATGAATATCCATGGGAGAATCCACACTTCTTTATTAGAGGTAAGGAAGGTAGAGGTATATATACATATATGTATAATTATTCAATACAGTTGTGTCTTGACGGATTACTTGCCAACTTCGTGAACTAATTAAATGGAATTTTCAAAGGTGCAACTTCAAGGGCAGGCCAACCGATTTGACACGCCCACATTTTGTGTCGCATGCCTTTTAGGGGGGCTCCTGCCAAACTGCGTTTGGCCAATTGCCGTGCAGAATTCCATAAAGAGCGACGTTAAAGCCAGAGTCGTATAAAGCTGAAAATTACCTGTTGACTGGGGGCTGTTACCCGGGGCCATTTTCGGCTCCACTTACATTGTTGCGTCTCCGAAGCGGCAATGACAATGCCGAAAGTCCGCAGGTGTTGCAAGCTATAACTCAATGCCTCAGTTCCTCAAATCGTGTGGCAAGTAGGTGCCTGAGCTCCGTGGCTGCGCTGCGGGTGGGGATTCCCCTCCTGCTTTTTCACCGCTGTCGTTTGTCATATTTGGGCGCGCGTGGAAGATGCGCCTCCGACTTCCTTGTTGGCATTGCTGGCATTGTTGTCATTGTTGGTATTGGCCGCCAGCCGCTGGCTGTCATCATGTCGCCAGCCTGTCAATCTGAGGCCAATGAGCAAATAGTCGCAGAGAGCGAAAATATCAAGAAAAGACTTAAAAAATGTTTAGCAAATAGCGAGCTATTGAATTATTGCCTAACACTTTTGGGAAGCTGAAAATTGAAAACTGAGCGGAATTGCCTTTTTAAATAATACCGTTTGAATCACTGCACAGTATTTTTACACATAAATATTCATTTATCAACGCTTAAGATATCATTTTTAAATATTCCCCAAACGTTCTTATATTTTATTGAATGCCATTATCTAACTAATTTTGCTTTGAACAGTTGCTTGTATATTGCGTTATATGCTTCATTTCCAATATAAGATTAGTTAAATGAAGCTTTTGGGATACACAAATTCCCATACATCCAGCGATTGTCAGTTATTGACCTCCAAAAAACCGCACCATTTTAATTACCCAAGACAGCACGCATTTGCATCCATAGCGCCCCAATCCGCGGAAAGATCTTGACGGCGATTCACAGGGCTAACAAGTGGCAGTTCGGGCCACATTAGTTTGCAGTTTGCCACAAAGCAAACAGATCTCACATGTCGTTATATAAGGCAGATAAGCTGGTGGCGGTGGCGGTGGAAAGTGGGATAATTGGTGTGGAAAACTGGGAAAATTATTGCGCGGCGGAGGAGTTATAGTTTCACAGACCCAGTGCGCCTGGGAGACTGTCTTTCGGCCCGAATCGGTTTCTTCTGTCTTCTACGTGCTGTCTTCTGCAAGCGGAACAGCCGCAAAGACATGCCTCAGTACGACGGGGCAAGAAAAACGCTCCTGGGCGCGCGACTAAACCCAAGTGCAACTAAAACCGCAGCACTACTAAAAACAGTAGGGGGAATGAATTTTCGTATTAATGAGCAAAAAGAGATTCGCACGCACGCCAATGACTTCATTTTTTATAGCCTGCCACTTGCCACATGCCACTTGCCACCTGCCACTTGCCCCTGCCAGTTGGCACTTCCTCCACGCCCACCTGGGCCATCGCTCATCCGCCGTGGGGACATTCAATTGGGCAGCTCGCGAAGAAACAACAGCGATTAATGTGGCTGTGATCGTCAAAACGAAGATGATAGTGCCCAGTGCAAGAAGAGTGAAAGGGGAGCTGACGTAATGCGGCGGCATCTTCACTTTGGCCCCTCCATTACCATCCCGCTCCACCTCAAATCGATGGGTAAGTCACGGCCCGATTGCGCAATATCTAATTGTCTGGCAGGAAACCAAAAATGTCTCCCAGTAGTTCCGCCTTCAACGACCCACCGACCTGCCGATCCCGGCCGCTCCTCCGATCCCGTTTCATCGCGCCCAGCCCGGCTATGGCCCACTCTTGGCTAATCGGCGGCCAGGTGGTTGCCAGAAATGCCGTTTAATTAGCAGTATTTGTCAAAGAGTTATAAAATACTGCCTAGGCAGGTCTCATTTCGCGAGTCGGTGTCTTCATCTCAAATCGCAGCTGAGCCCCAGCTTACCTACACTGCTCGAAAACGGAGGTAGGCAAGCAGGACATGTGGGCGGGCTGGCTGGGAATGGGTCAAGAGACACCCATATAAGGAGGCAATTACTCCGAAAGAAAAAAGTCCCTAACTGACTTATACTTTTTCCATACTGGCTTAGGCAAGTTTCTTGAAAATTAAAATGGGTTATACTTATTATACTGATTAAAATGGGTTATACAGGTACTTATAGAGAGAGTCATATATTCGATGATACTTAGCAGGCACATTCTTCATTTTAAATATGTTATTTAGTTTAAAACAAGAGAGAAAGCTGTAGTCGTTTGCCTCGACTATCAGATTCCCGGAGATATTTCAACATAACATTTCGTTGGCATTCAATAGAAATTAGCAAAAATAATAAAATAATAATTTTTAAAAAGTATGGGCGTGGCAGCCTTGAGTGGTGTATGAAATTGGCAAGTAATAAAATGGGTAAAATCA